AAACAAAAAAGTTGCTATTGCAATATCTGGGCAGTCACGACAAAATATACATATTTTAACATGTAATAAATAATGAGCAATCTTTAATAATAATTGTAACAATTTTATCTTAGAAAAATATACGCCCCNAAATCCACGCATTTTTCATGAAACTCATACGCAGCTTCCGAGGAAATTGAATGTTTGGGCGGGCATACTGGGAGACCACCTCAAAGGGCCATTCTTCGTAATAATAATCGTAATAAAACAAGTTAAAAGTGAAACAAAGAAGTTGCTATTGCAATATCTGGGCAGTCACGACAAACTATACATATTTTAACATGTAATAAATAATGAACAATCTCTAATAATAATTGTAACAATTTTACCTTAGAAAAATATACGCCCCTGAGCATAAAACAGTGAAAGCTAAACATACAAAGAATAATTATCATGAAACATCTATAATCATTACAATCATAAGGTTACATAGAATAATTAACAACAAAGTACTTCAAGAATATTACCTGCTAACTAATACCGGTTAAACACTTAATTTTCCACTACTTCTATATTTTTCACACTACACTGTCCGCCGATCGTCTTACTACCTATCTGCACACTGTTCTCACTTCAACTGCCTATCTTCGACTATCTAGGTTTCCTTCCAGAATTCCCTACCTAAGCGCTTGTTTTTTGTGCTTCCTTCTACCGACCGTTAATATTACTTTTTCTTGTTATACAACACCCATGTAACAGGTGACGTCGAAGTTGATAAGATAAGTACGGTTTTGCACAACACAGATCAATTGAGTGGCCTCCCAGATCGCCATTGAGGACCTTCGTCGGCGAATTGTTGAAGAATGTCGTCAGATAACGCCCGAAATGCTTCGAAATGTTCGTTGGGAAGTAGAGCAAAGATTTTGTTATTGTATGGAAGCGGAGGGAAACCAATCTGAACAGTTAATTAAATAACATTCTTTCATTCATTGATATTTTGTCTTATTCTTTAAGTGAACTCATATTTGATTTGATTTGAGTGATTGTCATATCCACACCAAAATTTAAAAAGTCGTATGTCATCTTGAGCAAAATTGAAAAAGCTTTAAAATGATGTGTCACTGATGCCATTTAAAGTTTAAGTGTATTTTATGCCCCTGCCTAAGGGAGTAGTTTCCAAGACACCAAAACTTATGCCATCACGTGTCCCCGTTGAAAAGAAAATCGACGTGTCTCAGTTTTTTTTGTTTTCTTTTAACTCCGACGTTTTCCAGGTGGGACGTTTAAATGGAACCCCCTGCATATCCAATTTGTTTATAATTTTTTAAATTCAAAGATAAGAAAAGTAGTAAATATATTTTGTTAAAAATAAAAATGGAAATTAAATGCACTCTCTTAAAAAAACATAGGTCTTAGACCTTTAATTCATTATTCTTTTTATGCAAAATAATACAACCTATGAAACAAGTTCCTAAAGTTATGACGTAGACTTGCAAGGAAGATTATCAAAGAGATGAAAAAGTTAAGGTGAAATAATTGAAGCACTGAAGATACAACATAAAATTTAAAAAATTCCCACATTTTCTCTAATAATTATTATTATTGTTGACTTGTGCAGTCTTCTGATACATCACTAATATCATGTTTCAATAGATACCCACCTAGATCTTAAAATAAAAAAAGCAAAGTGTTCATTAAGTTCCAATTTCCCTTCTTTTAAAAACAATGAAAATTTGTAAACATATATATTAACGAAACACATGTTTTAACGACTAGCAATTAAGATATAATCTTTCCGCAAAAATTGAATTCAAACCAACGTTATAATCAGGCTTAACTGCAGTGATTATAGTAATTTTACAATGAAGACGACTAGGTATCAGACCTATCCGTAGAAATCATTAATTAGTGTTCCTATAGTGCCCCGTCTTTCTAGACACGGCCTGCAAACGCATCTGATGGCGCAGGGCTATGTAAATATTTTTATAGAAAATAATGAAGTTATAATAAGGAATCAAATTCCCCTTACACAAAGATTACAACATAGACCAGGAAAGGAAACATTTTGAAATTTATTAATTACTGGGCGTGATTTTATTATTGAAAAGTCTTGGAAATGATAATACAAAAGGCGTCTCATCAAATGGGTCATGAAAAAAGTATAGCGTCATTGTTTTTTATCAACAAATAGGTCAAAAATTCGTAATTTTTCGTTCTACGCGTTATTGTAAAAAAAAAACTATTAATCTTAGCAAAAAAGTTCAGCAGACGTTTTTTTACGAGCTTTCAAATGGTGTATATAACTTCTTTCAAAAGTTAAAAACCGCGGAGTTATTTTATTTGTTTATTAGGGAAAAAAGTACCTTCCATTTGGTAACAATTATATACTTACAACTAAATTTGAAAAAAAAATAATTTTCTTTTAAATAGAGGATACTTGTCCCTTCGAAGAAAATGAGCCCAAAAGGAATGTTTTAGTCATAACCCTGCCCCCGGAATAGTCATTTGAAAATGGGCCTTTTTTTGCAAAAATGGGATAAATAAATGGAATTTTGCAAAAACTATTTGACCGATCGAGCCCATCTTTTGCACATCTCTTAAGGAAATAAAAACTCACATTTTGGGAAAGTTTGGTAAGATTTTATTAATTATTTAAAAAGTTATTAACAATTAAAGAAAAAGCACTTTTTCCGTTTAATTTTGCAATAACTTTTTTGTTTATAAAGCAATTTTAACTNACAATTAAAGAAAAATCACTTTTTCCGTTTAATTTTGCAATAAATTTTTGTTTATAAAGCAATTTTAACGTATAAAGTCTCATTTTAAAGGTGAGTTTATCTAAATCAAATCGTCTGTTGAACTTTTTTGCTAAAATTATTAGTTTTTTACGCGTAGAACGAAAAATTACGAATTTTTGCAATAACTTTTTTGTTTATAAAGCAATTTTGACTTATAAAGTCTCATTTTAAAGGTGAGTTTCTCTAGATCAAATCGTCTGTTGAACTTTTTTGCTAAAATTATTAGTTTTTTACGCGTAGAACGAAAAATTACGAATTTTTGACCTATTTGTTGATAAAAATCAATGACGCTATACTTTTTTCATAACCCATTTGACGAGTTGCCTTGTATTAACATTCCCAAGACTTTCCAACAATAAAATCACGCCCAGTAATTTTTACGAGTTCCTCATGATTTTGCACCTTTATTTCTTGGTCTCACAATCAATTTCAGACTGTATCTTATTATACAGGGTGTTTCTTAAGTGGAGGTAAAAAAATCCAGGGGCGTATTATATGGCCAAAATAATTGTTTTTTTGTTATATAAATGTGGGGTCTTAAGACAGCAATTGTCCAGCTACAGCGTGTCAAAAATTTTTAAAAAATCAGTTTTTAATTCTTAATTTCTAAGATTAGATAATTTAACCAAATTACCAGCTTTAGAAACTTACCAGTGGCGGAGGTGTGGATATTATTTGCCAAAAAAATATATGTCCCTGTATAATATTACAAATAAAATAGTTCATCATATGCGCCATTATATTATCTTCACTTTTTGTTTCTTTAATTTTTTTTGTATTTATAATGTTAATCGACTGATTAACAACAAAATTGTTTTATTTGATCACGTGCATTTTTACACAGTCGTCATCTTATTTAAAATTGTATATTGTCAAATTAAGTTTATTTTTTAAAAAGATGAAGCTTAATAATGGCTTATGCATAATCAATAATGCTGAAATTACGGTCATTATGGTTTACATTTCTGGCCTTGCAGATGGAAATGGTACTAAAGCTAGACGAATTTATATAAAAAGACTTCCAAATCATCCAACTCCAAATCCAAGAATACTCAGAAATGTTTTTCAACACCTGGCAATTTTGCACGTGTCCGAGCTACAATTTCAAGAAGATTTGAAGCATGTATTTTTGCTGAAGATGGCCATTTCCAACATTTGTTATAATAAATCATAGTAAAATAATTCCACTATTAATGAATAATTTTGTTATTATTTTAAGTAATGTAATGAGTATCGTAAAATGCACTTGATCAAATAAATCAATTTTGTTGTTAATCGGTTTGGAATACAAAAAAGTGTAAAGACTGATTAGATAATATGACGTTCACTTCTGTCCTGACAAAAGGTAGATATTAGTTTTTGACACAACAGTGGTTCCAAAACAACAAACATGATCGGAATCTGAAGCAATGTTTTAAGAAATACCTTAGATATTTGCAAAATTATAAGTAGAGAGAAAAGGGACAGTGCCTGTTTTTCTGCACTAAACACTTAACATGGAACTTACCATATAGTATATACGTATAGTACGTAATAATAATAAATAAGTACCAACAAATGTTAACAAAATAATAATTTCTTATAAGGAAAGTGATTGTAGAAAATAATTAACAGTTACCCTAAGACCGCGGTTAATCGTCTCCGGCATTCGATAAATGACCGAGATCACAGGCACATATCTAAAATAGTCGAAACTTTTAATAGATGCTGTTTTTACTAATAATTGCGAATCGTCAACTACTTCACATTTAAGTAATACCACTATCAGCGTCGTTGTACATGTCTGCCAGATCTGAAGCTTAGCATCGATCAATTTATTCGATACGTTTCTAGCGCCACTTTAATGCCTGTCCTGTCGGCCTGAAGTGACTGTGAACAATCCAGGTTTTTTGCCGAGGGACGTTGGCCGTACAATTCACTGCCGTTTGTGCGTGTGTGAGTGAGCTTTGCTTTGTCGAGTGTATGGCACGTGTTTTTATAGCAGTCAATAGCATTGTGTATCAAGACCATAGAGCGGCACACGGCTTGCCCATAGATTTAACCTATTTCTGCTACTACAACGCGTATTGCCGCTTTCTACCATAATATAGATTACTACTGTTTATTTATTTGATTGTCGCTACAAAGTTTCGTAGGCCTAATTATAAGTAAACTAAATATACTTCATAACAGATATATCAACTCCAGATGCTATCTAAAAAGTAAGCATGGAATCTTGATTACCTCTACAATCGCTACCGTCCTTCTCGAATCCTGGTAAGCAGTCACACAGTGGTTGACCGTCACGCATTCGACACATATGTGTGCATTTCGCCTGGTCCTCTGGTGAACACTCTCCCGAGTTCAGAAAATACTGTGGCGATGCTGCGCTGGGATCATCACCCTGGAGCGTGTCTGCCTCAGACAATAATAAAGAATAATAAGAACGTTGAATTGCTTATCAAAGTTAATATAAATTTAACAACGGTTCGATCACATTTGACAATAANTTAGTTAAGGTGGTTATACAGGGCGTTTCATTAATGGTCAACATAGTCTAATACAAGATTCCTGGGGTCAATTTTGCGAGAAAGCGCACCACCAATCAAGCTGGGTCAAAATTTTAGGAGGCATGTTTTTTGGCTTGAAAATTTTAAAAAGAATATCATTTTGTGATTATTCGTAGAGGACGCTAGTTGTGTTTTACTAATGGAATAAATATAATCTAAACTTTTTATCTTTCACATACAGGGTGTCTCACGGTGACAGCCCATTAGAATTATTTCAGAGACTAGTTCGATTTGAATTTTGAAAATTTGGGATTCTGGGTTTTCGGGCATGCCCTTCTCAACTAAAATAATGACGCCCACGTACCACTTCCGGTTATACCGGAAGTTGCCATCAACTTGCTTTTTTAAAATGGAACACCCTATATATTATTGCAATTTTGGATTCTACGTGTTATTTTAAGTGGACTTTTCTGAAGTTTCCCTATTCCTAAAATTAACCGTTTTCGAGATATTTAATTTTTTTCAAAAAAATGGAGAGAAACAGTGACTAGCTTCAAACCATGTGTATTTTATAGTAAGAAAGATAAAGCAACAATATTTATAGGGGGATAGTTAGACCCCTAAGCTTCCCATCCATACTTTCAAAGTGGCTTAATTGCATACAGGGTGCTAGAAATTTAATGCCGAGTTTAGTTAACTTCAAACCTTCATAAGTCGGTTTTTTAAATTGGAACGCCCTGTACGTTTTTCTATATTCTGATATACAATTTTATTCTCTTTCGAAAGGTATTTCCTATACCTATCTCTTCTAGTTTTTAAGTTATCTACTATTTTTTGTGTAATCACCTAAAATCATGTAATTTCTTGCGAGGATAGCTGTGGAATTTTTAGCAAAACTTCAAAACAAACAACTAAACTGTCAATTTGTTGTTAGTCTCTTGCAGTGACAGTTTAATTTAGTGTTTATAAGAAATGGAAAACAATACATATTCAAATGCTGATATTTTAAATTTATTATTCATTCAGGGACGTTGCAATGGGATTATAAGCAGAACATGTACAGTTTTTAATGAGACATATCCAAATTTGCTACCAATGAGCAGAAAAAAGTTAAGAAGAATTTTAGTAAATCGACTAGAGTATGGTCGAATTTGTGCAGAAAGAATTTTACCAAAACCAATAACTTCAAATGAAGATAATGTAATAAATGTGCTAGCCTATTTTAATGTTTATCCAGAATCCTCAATTCACAGGATGCTAAGAACTAATGATATGCATCCATACAAATTTAAGCTACTTTCTGCTCTTCATCCAGGTGACGCCGTGTAACGTGTACAATTTTGTGAAACGATGTTAGTGCGATACCAAGACGAGTCAAAATTTGCGAGAGAAGGCATTTTTAATAGACATAATACGCATTTTGTGATCATCTGAAAATGCTCATGTTATCCGGGAAAGAAACTTTCAAAATAAATTTAGCGTAAATGTTTTTTGTCTAATTAAAGATAACCAAATTTCTTACGATATCTACGAAGAAAATTTAAATGCCGACAGATATCTCAATATTTTGCAAACGGTTGTGGCAGATGTTATAGATGGTATACCTTCAGACCAACTAAGGAAGTGTTGGTATCAATTAAACGGGGCTCCACCTCACTGTCACAATCAAATCGATCAATAGCTGACTGAAATGTTTAAAGATAGATGGATGAGACGCCTAGGACCGTGTAATTGGCCAGTGAGGTCTCCCGACTTCACTCCATTAGATTTTTATGTTTGGGGAGTAATAAAGCAAAAAGTTTATTCTACACCCGTTGCTTCAAAAGAGGATTTGATTGCTCGAATACGAAGAGCGTTC